AACTTACATACTAGTTTATTTTTTCCTTTGCATAAAATGTGAAGAATGTGAACCCTACACCAGGGAAAGCAGAACTGTCTTAAAAATAACATGTGATTATACTAAATGAGTATTAGTTTGGAAAAGAAAAGGAATACATCATGTTATTAAAATGTTCTGGTTTGTTTCTAAGTAACAATCTCTGTGGTCAAATAAACTTACATCAAGCCATCAGTGGATATAAGCAAGTCTCTTGTAAGCTGGGATCAGCTGAAGATTCACTGCTTTGAATAAACTGGGAATTATATTCACAAGCACCAAATTTGCAAGTGAACTATTGAAGACTAACTCAGCTGGTGTTCCAATCTCCAATAAAAAAAAGATTTAAAAAAAGATTCTAATTTGGAAGTCCATTGTAAAGTATCCCTTGGGACTATAAATAACTAAAGCTACTTTGCAAATGTCAAAGTATTTATAAAATGGGGATGGGGAGATAATTCAGTCAGTAAACAGTTTACTATGCAAACATTGGGACCTCAGACCCATAGAAAAACTAGATATAGTGGTGTGTGCCTGTCATCTCAGCACTGAGAAGGTGAAACGTGGACCCCAAGATTTGGTGACCAGACACATTAGTAAGAGGCTGTCTTAAAACATAGACACAGATTGCCCTTGCATAGGACTCGATTCCCAACATCCATGTGGCAGTTTATAACCACCTGTAACTCCAGGGAAATGGTCTCTGCAGGAACCAGGCACACACATGATACACATACATATGTACGTATATGTGAAAAAAAACTTGTATACATGAAATATAAAAAATAAATTTTAAGATGAAAAGAAACCTTGTCTAGGGTAATCAATAAATTAACTTAAAAAAATTTTACACAAAGTATTTTACTACAATAAAGATAAATCAAAGTTTACAATTAAGACAAACTTGTTCATCTTCTCCAATGTTAAAAATATTTAATCATTCTATTTATTAACATTTCAAGGCTATAGGAAAGTTAAAAAAATTAATATGCAGCTTTATGCTCTTCACTCACACATACATAATACTTTGTTAATTTATTTCATCTGCTTTTGTTTCCATATCTGTGACTATTCATCAACCCACTCACTTGCATCTAAATCTATAACTATCCATACATATAATCAGACATTTCTCTCTGTATCTATCCATTTATCTACTAGTCAGGAATGAATCTGGGATTTCAGAACATACTTCAGTATGAATCACTTAAAAACAAGATTTCCACCAGGCGGTGGTGGCGCACGCCTTTAATCTCAGCACTCGGGAGGCAGAGGCAGGTGGATCTCTGAGTTCGAGGCCAGCCTGGTCTACAAGAGCTAGTTCCAGGACAGGAACCAAAAGCTACGGAGAAACCCTGTCTCGAAAATTAAAAAACAAAACAATATTACATTTGGGTCAATTATTATTTTTACATAATCCTCCAAAAAAAAATATTGGTTCAGTATTATCAAGTACACCATCCGTATACATCTCTGACGTCCCAATGGGTCCTCTACCATAGTGCATGAGGTTTAAGAACTAACTGAAGTTCACATGTCTACTATTAGGCATGATATTGCTTCTAGTGAGAAATGGCATTTGGAAACCAAACCTGAAGGCTAGCTGTGCTCACTGTTCTCAGGTCCTCTCAAAGGAACAAGCTGGGATTATTTATCTAAAATACGAATGCTTCTTATACCGATTTCTCAAAGCAAAGACACATTTTAAGATTGTAATACACCATGGCCTATGTAACTTACAGAGGAAGTTTACTTTGGCTTCTGGTTCCAGAGGGACGGGCTGGACAGTAGGGCAGCAAGTACAGAAAATGGAAATGGCAGTTGGAGAAGGAAGTTGAGAAATCACATTCTCAACTACCAGCATGAATCAGAGAGCAAACGTGATGTGAGAAGGAACTATAAACACACAGAGCCTGCCCCAAAGGCCTATTTCCTCCAGCAAGACTCTACCTACCAAAGGCTCTACCTACTCTCCAATCAGTGGCATACCATAGCCTACAGGAGTTCCTCTCATTCAAACCACCAGAGATGTTTAACAGTATTCACATCCACACACTGTAATAAGCTAAACTTTATTGTATAAACTCTTTATTATTCATAAATTCGATTAGGTTTATGTTACATGATGATTGATGGGAAAATTCATCTTTCATAACATGAAACCTCAAGCAAGGGAATAAGAGTGAGGTCTGTCCCATAAATTATCACTGAAGTAGTAAACCCATGAAAGGTTAGAGAAGTGGAAGAGAGAAGAGATATCTACTATAAAGTCCAGAATTGTGCCAGACAGGACTTCAGGTCGGTTTTACTGGATAGCATTATTCAAGATATGTTAAGAATTTGGGCTTAGCTGAAAGATTTCTTGGTATTCTTTTTTTTAAAAGCCATATGCTCTAAATCCAGTTTCAGACTGAATACTGCTTATAGCTCATGGTCTATAGTTATAAATTCCTGATCAATATGCCTGATCTCCATAAGAAACATAAATATGAAAATGATTCACAAAACCCCTTCACAAAAGTTTTTGCGGGTATTTATTAGACACAAAATCCTAGGATATTAACCAAGAAAGGTAGTACAAGCCTGTAATTGTGGTACTTTAGAGGCTGAGTAAGAAGAATCACAAATTTTAGGCCAGTTTGAGGTAGAGAGATCTTGTCTCAAGAGAAACAAATAAGACAAAACCTTGTGGTATGCAAATATACATCCTAGAATTCAGAGTTCTTGGACATGCTTTTGTTTTGTCTGCTTTGCTTTTGTTTTTGGAGACAGGGTAGCTCTGAGTAGCCCTGGATGTCCTCTAAAGGATCTGCCTGCCTCTGCCTCCCCAGTGCTGGGATTAAAGACCTGCACCACTATGCCCAGCATCCTTAGACATTAAAAAAAAAATCTATGCTATACACCCTTGCAGTCTTCACCCACCCTGTCATCTCACCTCAATTTCCTCCATACTACCATTATCTTTTCTAGTTTTGTAAGAAGGTGAGGGAGTGTTAGACACCAAAATGCAAAGTGCTGGCAGGCATAGTGTGTGCTCATAGCCCACCTATGTCCCAGCCCCTATAGCACTTACTATACCTATTAAGCTCTTAGATCTGTGAGACAGTTTCTCAGGACCTTCTTTATTTTAGCTTGTGTTATGGACTTTGATCTCTGCAGTCCATGTCTACACCAGAAGAACTACAGGTATTGTCTTGGAAATCATGTGAGCACAGCATTAGTTATGTATTTCTATTTTCACAAGCACTGGTCAAATTTAGCATAATACAGTTTTTAAGGCAGACAACTTTTCTGTTCACAAAGTAAAAAGAATATTACTTTTTAAGTTTAGTAGTTTATCTCACTTACAATATAACTATAACTTCTACTATGGATACTGTTCTAATACATCTCGTACTTCAATGTTTAGAACAAAACACAAAAGAGAGGTTGGGGAAGAAACCCAAACTTACAAAAAGAAAAAGAATTAAGTTCTCCATAGACCTGAGGGGTCATATCCAAAGGTTATTTTCTCAGAACGCAAGAGGAGATACATAGTTGCATTTCTACTGCTGACCTAGGAAGAGAACTCCTCAGTCCCATCTTGCTGTACCCTAGGGGAAGTTGAGATTCAGCAATTTCAACCTCATTAAAATGTATATATATGACTCTCAAATAATGAAATTTTAAAATGTTCATAACAATTTTTCAAAAAATAATCATCTCTATTGAGTATGTTAATGTGTAGCACATCCCTACAATACAGTTGTGAGAATGAACTATTGATAACCAACCACAATGACATGGGTGGCTTTCAAAACCATAATGTTGAATGGAAAATAAAGGTAGAGACATGAAGAATGTACAATGTGAGTGCATGTGTATAAAGTTCAAGAACAAACTATGATGCTGAAATATCTTTCTTGGGAAAGATGAGAAGGGGTTCAGATTTCTTGATCATGATTTAGAATTCAATGAGCTGTACCATTATGGTATGTTTATCTCTTTCAACATATGTTTCAATAAAATATTAAAATACAGAACAAGTCATTGTTGAGGACAAGCTGTATTTCACTCGTGAGCTTCCTTTTCGTGACCGTACACTAATGTAATTCAGGAAGATGCTAGCTGCTCTGGGCACAAGGATTAACAAAGTACAGTTCATAATTTCATCCTGTTCCCAATCCATCAAATTCACATGTATATTTACAACAAAAACGTCAGTGAATAACTGACTCTACTGCAAATAAGATGGTGGTGAGAGGGCTGCAGCAGCACCAGGACACAGTGAATGGGCGTGCTGAGCTGCCTGTGATGTCAGACCTGAGGTTCAAAGACGAGTCTTTTACCTAAGTGACGGGAGGATCACCTGTACCAACTGAGTCTTTCCCCTCAAGCCAGAAAAGCTTAATGGCTGTGGAGCTGGGCAATTTCACAGAATGGAATGGGGGGAAATGATTCTCCTCTCAGCCAATGGCAATGAGAACAGAGCTGAGACTCTCGCAAGGAAAGGTGTAGGAGTTACCTGGACTTGCACGCTATCTATACCAGAGCAGACACAGAGCCAGGAAACAGTTTGCAGGGCCTGGCTTGCAGCTCCTTAAGATGCCTATCACAGAGTTAAGAGCTTAAAAAAAAAAGTCTTGAGATATCTGCTTAACATAACTCCAGTCAATAAGAGAAAACAAAATCATGGCTATTTTAAGGTATATGTAAACTTTGGGCTCACACTTCAATAATGTGGGTGTTCTTTACTGAGTAAGACTGATAAATGGTTTATTAGCTTATAAATGGTGAGTAGTTTTAAAAACTAATTTATAAGTATTAATTCATGTTAGAATTTCATAAAGTACTCTCAAATCAAGTTTTCTAAAGTGACCAACTACAGCTTCAATGGCCACTTGCCATGAATTATTAAACTCTCTTTTTTTTTTTACTTCCAAATCTTCCAGTAGACGTCTAGAGTTTAGCTAGAAGTTTTGGCTACGATACAAACAGTGATGGAAAACATATGAGCAGTAACAAGTTTTAATCTCGCTCTTCAGTACTAACATGGACTAATCTGTGGAAGCAGTTTATTCCAGTATCACCCAGGACGCAGCCACACCAGAGGCTGTGTTAGGCAGGCTGTTTTTTCCTTTTCTTTAAATGTAACACTTCTTTATCTTTTCTTCTTAAAGAGTCTTAAGGAACTTGCATTGTAGCTAAGTAGTACAGGGTGGATAACTTCTTTGAAGAGAACTTCTTTCCTGACAAGGTATGTTTTCATGTCTGTATTACATGTACCAGTGTACAGTTATTTTATTGTTAATACTAAGGAAGCATTATGTTATTAATAAACATTTGTAAATAATATGGTAAAATTTAAACCATAAGTGTATAGATCCTTAGGATATACATTAGGAAAAAAGCCTCTAAATTTTGTAACTGAAGTTACTTTAGTCTTTTTTATGTAATTTTACATAAATTTTATACATATGTATAAAATTTTATACATAATTTTATATTAGTTTTAATTATGTGTTTTTGGAAAACAGTGAAAAACTGTCACTAATGTTTTATATAAATGTTAACATGACTGATATTAAAAAGTAAATAAAAATCTTACACAATCTTTTGAGAACAATATTACTTTAATAATTAACCTTAATGAAATTTGAGCATGTCAGATATATTAAATGAAAGTCTTTTACTTACTATGTAAACCTATGATACTGTTTTTTAAAATGTGAATTATTCAAGTGTCACTTTTATTTATAACTTTGAAAATTCATTTTTTTGATGTTTCTTATACAATGAAATGGTACTGGGCTATTATGACAGAAATCAACATAATTTCAAGAAGATAACCTATCAACAATAGTTTAAGCAGGTTTGTATTCTGTATGAAACGTTTAGAGACTTCTTTTTATAAATCTCATACTTAGAATAACACAGGGATTTCCTCTGTCCTTTCACAAAGCACACTTATTATATCTTAGATCTAAAAGATTAAAGAATACTCTCTCCACTCTTCTCCCAACAATAAATAGAACTTAGTATTCTTTCATGATAATGTATTCAGAGGTGTGGCAGCCATGAAAACAGTGGCCACATGCTACAAGGACTGAGTCACAAAGAACCTGAGGGGCTTCTGTTTATCTTATCTATTGCTATAAAAATAGCATGCTTTATTATTTCATTTTTCTTGCAATCCAATCAAGAATCACTGTGTTAAGGAAAAAGGAAGGAAGGAATAAGAAAGAAAAAGAAAGAAAGGGAGGCAGTGGAGTGCAAGCCCCAGCCCATGGGAAAGTATCTGAGCTGCTGTTTTTCGTTTGGTTTTGGCAGAAAGCACTAGAGTGTAGCAGTGGAAAGAATGGAAGCGATGCGGCCTCTTGTTACGACTAACCACTGCATGAAAAATGAGTATCATGATACCTGACCTGAGTCTTGAGACAAAACAGATTAACTTTACAAGCACTGCAGGAAATCTTTAAAAAGTAGAAAGGCAGGAATGTTTTGTTTTTAAAACAGCAATTAGGGTGTTGAATACAGCTGGTAAGAGAAAAATTGGTACCTAAGGAAAGAAAAACAGCCAATTCTTACATAGAATGCCATTTATATTTCCAAGGTAAAATTAATTAAAGGTGTGCTTTAAGCAGTATTGGTATCTATGAACAAATAGTGCTTTAAGTTTGCCAGTGCATGCTTGGATTTTTAAGGTATTCAAGGGTATGGCTAGGCCTTGATTATACCTGCATGTAGTCTGTATTTTCTCTCAAGATACCTAGGACATGTCATGTCACATTTCTATCCTGGAGCTTACAACAGATCTGTGAATTGAAATATTCAAGCCTAGTTGTCAAGTGGACCTTGAAACATAGGATTTAAAAATACAGTGACTTATTTACCTAATAAGGTAGTAAGAGAAAACAGCATTCCCCTTAGACAAGATTTTCATTTCAAGCTTACAGACAGTTAAGTGGCAAATAGAAAGCCTGGTCAAATTTCACCATGTCTGTTTCAGAGGAAAGTTGGTTCGCTATTTAGAAGAGGCTTTGAGAGATGAAAATCTACTTGGAGCATGGTTGGAAGCTTTAGAAGTGGGTGTGAGGAAGTTGCCTAAGCTCTGCTACCTCCTGGGAGTTCTAGAAACACAGAGCCTAAACTTCCTCTTCTCAGAGTTCCTGGGAGTGATGTCTAGAGCTCTCTCTCAGCTCTAAATGGTTCTGATTTATTAGTAACGGAAGTAGCACTGGGATAGTATTCCCAAGAGTCTTCTTATTAAAACTAGAACTTGAGACCAAAATCCAAAGCTTTTCCTAAGTAGAAACACTGATAAAACTTGTCTAAATCAGAAGAATATTGAGTCTTCCTGAGATATAAATATTTTTAAGTTTTTAAAAATAGTAGTCTAAAAGCTGCCAAAACTAATAAACTTGACTTTGAACTGTCTTAAGAAGCTCAAAACAAAGTCTATTTCACTACTCTTTCTACATAATAGAAGGGACTGCAGTGCTCTCTTATGCCCTGCAAACAGTGGTGAACAGCTGTGCAGATTGATCAACAGAGGTTTAGGATCTTCTCATGGACTCCTCAGATCTACAGCAGAGATCCAGTAACATCAGAGGGCAATTCCTCAGGGTACTAAGGTTGGCCTCTGTTTTCTTTACAAGCAACTGAGATTAAAAAAAAAAAAAGCAGAAAGATATATATTTTTTAAAAATGGCTAACAACAGATAAAACTAGCATACAGAACTATTAAGAAGGTATTTCTATCCTCAATACAAAGATTTTCTAAACAGCCATAAGTAAGCACCAGTGGCCAGAGATCTAAAGGTGGTGGGTTCCTTAGGTGTGTTCATTGGCATTACTAATATAGCACAGTCCAGACTGTTCTGGAACCTCCATCACTGAGGTGGCAGGTTATGAAATACAGATCTGTACTTCTCACCAGGAAAAAGATAAACTGCTATTTAGGAGCTGGTTGCTTCCACTAGTTACCAATGGCAAGCCTCCTTCACTGTAACAGAAAATGCTGAAACTAACAGGAAGAAGTATCAATTCATATTTCTCTACAAAGAGATAGTCATGAATATTACCATTCTAAGAAGTCAGTCAGAAAAGGAGGGACTCCAGCTGATGCTTAGTAAACCTGAGACAGGATGTGCAAGAGAAGCATATTCATCATTGTTCTGCTTCCTGGTTCTGTGCCTTGTGCTTTTTCTTTATCTGTAGATCCAGCTTCTCATACCCAATCTGATCCTCAGCTTAAATCTTCACTCAGCATTGGGGAATTTCTTTGAGCTCATGGAGGCGAGCAGGCTAGAGGACTCTCTGTCACCAGCATGTGGAACACATACAAATGAGTCCAGCCCTCAATTCTGCTGCCAGCCCACATGGAAAATCAACATGTGCTCTTGGCATCTACTCTGGCACTCTAACACACTCCTCTTGTTACATATACTTTAAAATTTTCCATAGTTTTCTTAGTTCTATATTTCAAATACCTTAATGTTAAAATTGTTTTGGCTTTTATATGGAAGCTAAAGCCCAAGTAATTCAGATTTTACAATAAAAGACTTGAACAAAAACAATCAGACAACTTAATAAACCCCAATTTTCATTTTCTATAATCTAGAAAATGGGGCAAGAGTCCTAAAACACTGTGAATTTCAAAACATTTTTACAGGTAGGTATTTTTTTCTTTGTCTTCTGGGAGAAACTAATGAATGAGAACAATCTGTTTGGAAAACTGCCATGTGTGCTGTCAGTAGAATGCTAGAGAAAGGGTAGAAGAGGGCAAACATATATTTAGGATTAAAGCAATGATTTTTGTTGTCAGACTGGAATTTCAAATATTTTAACACTAGACATGGCAATACAAGACAATCGCAAGTTTAAAACCAGACTGGGTTATACAGAATATCTTTGTCTCACAACAACACAGCAAACAAAAAACCAAGAATTTTTACTATGTTAAATGTAACAACAATAAAAAACTGTATGTGCGAAGGTTTCAATCTAACTCATTTATATGGCATTATATTCATTTTAATCTTTTTGTTGGTTTCAAAAGGATTATTAAAAGGAGAAAAACACTTAAGAATGTCACTAATTTAGACTATTGGTTTATTTATTTGGAGAGTGTGTGTGCCCATGATGTATGCTTGTGTATGTCTATGAACAGGTATGCTCAACCATGCAAGCACGAATGGAGGCCAGAAATCAACATCAGGTGTTGTTTTTCACCTCATGTTTTAGACAGGGTCTCTCACTTAACCTGGAGATTGCCATTTCTACTAGACTGGCCATCCAGAGAGTCCCTGGGATCCACCTGGGATCTTCCCCACTCATGCTGAGTGCTGGGGTTATAGCTATGTGCCAACACATGCAGTTTTCATGTGTGTGCTGAGGATAACAGCTCAGTTCTTCACAGTTGCATAGTAAGCACTTGACTCACTCAGTAATCTCCACAGCCAGCTTTCCCTCACTGCCATTAAATCATTTAATATTCAAGAGTATCCTTTTTATTTCATTTTCCTTTTTGGGGGGTTGGGGGTGAGACAAGGTTTCTCTGTAGCTTTGGTGCCTTTCCTGGAACTAGCTCTTGTAGACGAGACTGGCCTGGAACTCACAGAGATCTGCCTGCCTCTGCCTTCTGAGTGCTGGGATTAAGTGTGCCACCACCACCTGGCTAAGAGTATCCCTTTTTTATTATGTTATTTTTGACAGGGTCCTATAATGTAGCTCAAGCTGTCCTAGGATTCCCAATATAGCTTAGGCTGGCTTCAAACTCATGATCTTGCGTCACATTCCATAATGCTGAGATTATAGTTATGTGCCACTATGCCCAGTTTCAAAAGGAGAGGAGGAACAGGAGAAAGATATGTTCTACCTTACCCATTAAGTGACCCAACATAATGCTTGGGACACATGAATGCTTAAGAAACACACACTGACTGGGTGGGTTGGTGCATGTCTTTAATCCTAGACCCAAGAAGCAGAGGCAGGCTTCTCTCTGTAAACCATCCAGCTTGGTCTATGTAGCAATTTTCAGGAAAACTAGGACTACATGAGACCCTATATCTCAAAAAACAAAACAATAAAACCCCACCAAAGCAAACAAAAACCCACAAAAAAACAAACTCCTAACAACGAAACAAACAAAAACAAGAGATGATCACTTGAATTACTAACTCTGGCAACCTCAAACCAGGCTATGCCAAAGACAGGTCTTCAAATGACACTGCAATTACAAGCTTCCAATTACCAAAATAAGAGTATCTGTGCATCCGGCAAAGCTGCCGTGTCAGGCTGATCAAAGAAATACACCAAAGGGGTTGTAATGTAGTTCAGTTGATAGAGTGCTCGCTTAGTATTCATGAAGCCCCAGGTTCAATCTCCAGCCTTTGGGAGATGGAAACAGATACACTAGCTGTTCAAGGTCCTCCTCAGTTACAAATTTCCTCGTCAGCCTGGAGACAGACTGTCTCAAAACAAAAACAAAAACAAAAACCTGAAAAAGTAAGAATTAGTGACTTTAAGACAGCTAAAGACTAAAAGTTGAATTTCTAGAGAAAAAGTGTTTTGGAACTTGAGTCAAAGTTGATATTAACACTAAGGAACTGGAGAACCACAAAAAGGTGTGAGGTAAAAACACATAATGAAACCAGATGTGGTAACTCATACCTGTAAACACAGTATTCCAGAGGCAGAGGCAGGAGAAATGCCCTAAGTTCAAGGACAGCCTGGCCTATGGAGCAAGTTTTAGGCCAGTAGAGCTATTCAGTGAAACTCTGTCTCAAATAACCAAAACAAACACTGTAACAAGTCACAGGTAGGGAAGCAGATGAGCATCAGAGACAAGAACAAAATGATTCTGAAAATGACAGTCACTACAACCCTACGTAAGGGCTTGTAGAAGAGACCCAAGAAGGGAGATTCCACAGTAGCAAATAGGCCAATAGTTAAAAATACAGGTGATCTTGTCCAACAAAAGCCAAAGGGCCCTTATTGCCAGCACAATGCCCCCAATTGTAAAATTTGTAAGTCTTGTCACACAGTCATCTCGTGTGTGTGTGTGTGTGTGTGTGTGTACTCAAGCACAGAGAACTGAACACAGCTTTGAGTGCTATTGCTTAGGTACAATCCACCTTACTTTGAGTCAGGGTCACTTGTTGGTCTGGAACTCACTGACTAGGCTAGGCTGGCTGGCCAGTGAGCCACAGGGATCCACCTCTCTCCATTTCTTCAGTGCTGGGATTTCAAGCATGCACCTCCATGTCTGGTTCAAACTCAGATTCTCATGCTTGCACAGCAAACTCTTTCCTGACTACATCAACATCATCTCAGCTCCATATCTGATCTTCAAATTCAGGAAAAGGCAAACACACAGAGATATTAAAGTTGATTTCTGGGTTCTGGAACACAGTTAACAGCTGACTCAAGGATCAGGTATTCTGAAACTGGGCCAGATATGACTGAATAGAATTCTCATACTGAATCACTGTTGACATTTATGCAATGCAGACTGTTAAGTGATAGAAGCTAAGAGACCATCTATAGAGCCTTCTGTCTTAACAGTGAAAAAGATGAATGTGTGTGTGTGTGTATATATATATATGGGTATATTCACATATTCATGTTAAAACTTGTTTTTGCTAATGGATACTACAGGGATACACCTATTTTTGATGATTTCATTATGGTTTTTAATCTTTGAAAATGTCTAAGAATGTACATATTTCATAGGTGGTGGCAGATTCCTACAATTTCAATATTTGGGACTGAGGCAGAAGGATCTCCTACAGGGAGTTTTAGGTCAACCTGAGCTATATATAGGGAGACCCTGCTTCAAACCACAAAATAACAGTAAGAATGACTCCCAAATTATAAGTAAATCTATGTATGGTAATATCAGACAACAGATGGTAATGAATTCAAGCTCTGAAGGTTCTCATTTATACATTACAGTTTTGTATAAGCTTTAAAACACACATACATACATACACACACACACCCCTAAAAACAACATTGCATCTATCAGAGACAACTATTCAACCAGATGAAACTCAGTGAAACAATGAACAACAACAAAATAGTCTGGTCATAAGATGGTCACGATGGGGTATTAAATAACAGAATAGGTTGGAAATAAAAATATCCAATCACAGTGTGGAAAAAGTTACCAATGATGAGAATGAGGTTTGGTAGGGTAAAAAAGCAATCAGTTAAGGGAAATGTCCACATTGTCTAAGGGCCACTGAGGATAACCTTGGAAAGTGGCATAGGTATTAGCAATGGAATGGTTTTGAGAATAGAGTTAGTCAAGATAATTTTTTAAACTTACTTTCCTAATTATAAAAGAAATATTTATTGCTTATAAAATTAAAAGAATAGAAAAAGACAAAATGTCATCCGGGTTGGGGATGTCCAATAGGTATCAAACCCTAACTTTGATCCCCAGCATCACATAAACCAGGTCTAGAGGTGCAACCCTGAATCCTGGCACATGGGAGGTAGATGCAGGAGAATCAGGAGTACAAGATCATCTTTGGCTACTTAGTGGGTTCTAGGCCAGCTTGGGATATGTCAAACTGTATTTTTAAAAAAAATTAATAAAGACAAACACTTTATCCATAGTTCTATCACTGTAGTTTATAACTGGCCAGATTTATTTATACTAGTTTTTTTTTACTTAAAGTAGTCTAACTAAGGATTTTTAAAGTTTTGCTTTTTTATTTAATAGAAAGTAATCTATATTTTAAAGTATCTTTGGAAACATTTTGTAGATTAAAATATAGTTCACTTGATAAATACATTCTATATTTTCCTTTAACTAACAGAACTGTCTTTAATTTTTCCTATTACAAAGAATTCTATTATGTATTTTGGAATTATTTCTTGAGATGAGGCTATTTTAAAAATTCAAAATAAAAATTAAACAAAGGAATCTCATTCAGAGACTATTTCTCTTGTCAAATCTAAGTACTTAATTTTAACTTCCTTTACTGAAATTTATTTTAAAGTATAAGAGGTTAAGCCTGCACTTCCCAGTAAAATTTGTTCCAGAGTTCTAAGTATTGCTAAGATGAGCATGCATCATTAATGAACAGATCTGGCTGTTTAAATTAATAGATTTATTGAAGCTCCCTCCAAAAGCATATGCTGAATTGTGCTAAAAAAGTTTTATGTATTTAATCTTACACTACATAGCAATTTTGTCATGCTTTTTCCAACACTAGAAATGTGTATAAAAGAATTTGTATCTGTTGAAACTCTAATTTCATACCCAATGTCTACTAAATGCCAGGTTGAACTTTACACAGGACAACATGAAGGAGTATATGATGCTACTGCTCTTGGCTGTGTGCTCTGCCAAACCCTTCTCTAGCCCTTCACACACAGAACTGAAGAATATGATGTTGAAGGATATGGAAGACACAGATGATGACGACGATGACAACAATTCTCTTTTTCCAACAAAAGAGCCAGTGAACCCCTTTTTCCCTTTTGATTTGTTTCCAACATGTCCATTTGGGTGTCAATGTTACTCTCGAGTTGTCCACTGCTCTGATCTAGGTAAGGACAGCAGTCAATTTTGTTTTGAAGAATATTGTTTTTCTGAAAAGGTTAAGAGGATTAAAAAAAAAAAGGAGTCACTGAACTTTCAAAACTCTATTCAGTCACTGCAAAATGGTTTGTTTACACTTTTAGGTGGAAGGTGAGTGTAGCAGCCCAGGCTTTTAGTCCACAGTTTTAGAAATCAGTAAAGGAGGGCTGTGAGTTCGAGGCCAGCTTAGGTAAAACAGAGACCCTCATGTAAAAAATAAGAAAAACGAAGTGGTGGCAGATTGCCTCCTCAGTACCCAGTCTTGATTCCAGAACTGCAAACAGGCAGAGAAATGTTTATGTGGACAGTCCAGCAGACTGCAAAGCATTCTACCCTTATTTAAAAATTCAGAATAAAAAGAAAACAAGGAGCTGGTTGGTGGTAGAGCTCTGTTTAATCCCAGCACTTGGGAGGCAGAGGCAGAGGCAGGAGGATCTCTGTGAGTTCTAGGCCAACCTGGTCTACAAAGCAAGTTTCAGGACAGCCAGGGCTACACAGGGAAACCTTGCTTCAAAAAAAAAAAAAAAAAAATCACACACACACACAAACACAAATGCGCGCACACACACACAAGGGGAACTTTTTTTTTGTTTTGTATTTTGTTTTTTCAAGACAGGGTTTCTCTGTGGCTTTGGAGCCTGTCCTGAAACTAGCTAGCTCTTATAGACCAGGCTGGCCTCGAACTCACAGAGATCCACCTGCTTCTGCCTCCCAAGTTCTGGGATTAAAGGCAGGTGCCACCACGGCCTTGCAAAGGGGGACCTTACATAAAAAGGATTTCTTTCTCTTCTCAGATCTAAGCAGTTCATTTTTTAAATTTCCTTCATTTTAGTTCAACTCAAAATGTCAAAAGATCAACCCTACACTTACTAGGCAATAAAATGCTACAGTAGAAAATACGGTGCCCACCCAGTACGATAACATGGGTCATGTACATTTCATGAAATCTTTAGATTTTCAAAATGCAATAATGTGCTTTGTGTTATGAATAATTTGGGTTTAGAACTTTCTAGAAAGAAGTGATTAAGGAGGTCTAATTAAAATTTATCATTTTTGCTCAGTAACTTCATTGTGCTACAACACAATAATATAACAAGAAAATAACTTAAGAAAGGAACCATTAATTTTGGGTAGCTGGGGGCTGGAGAGATGGCTCACTGGTTAAGAGCACTGCCTGCTTTTCCAAAGGTCCTGAGTTCAATTCCCAGCAACCACATAATGGCTCACAATCATCTGTAATGAGATCTGGTGCCCTCTTCTGGCCTTCAGGCATACATGCAGACAGAATACTTGAGAATACTGTATACATAATAAATAAACAAACCTTTAAAAAATTTGGGTAGCTGTACATTGGAGTTCACATATTGGCAACCAATTCAGGAGAGGAATGACAGGAGACAGGGAAAGGGTGGGGAAGCAAGGGAAAAACACAGAGGAAACAAAGCAAAGGAGGCAAAGACAATGAAAGAATGAATGTCTGTACTAGCTATCTCTTCCTTATTTTCCCGCTTCAGTAAGGGAGAGTGCCACCCACATTCAGGGTGGGTCATCCCTTTCATTAATCCTATCTAAAATTTCCCTCAGACACACCAAGAGGTACACTTCATAATCTAATCAAGTTGACAATCAAGACGAGTTAGTTTCAAGTTAGATATCCAAACACATTCCTTTAGACCTCATATTGTATTCTGATCTTCAAAAGGCTCGTGTCCACCTTATAATGCAAACCGCATTCAGTTCAGCTCAAAGAGAGTCATAGTCTTAACAATTCCAATATTGCTCAAAAACCCAAGTTTAAGATCTCCTACGACTCAAAGTAAACTGTATCTGTGAGTCCTTGTAAAATAGATAAGAAATTAAACAGTTCCAGGATACAGAGACCGCACAGTATACATCCCCATTCCAAAAGAAAGGGAAAAGAAATAGCAAGGAAAAACTAAACCAAAGCAAAACAAAAAACTCCAAACAAAAAAACAAACAAAAAAAAAAAGAAGAGAAATGCTAAATTCTGTATATCCACAGCTAGCATTCAGGGTACAAGGTGACATGGTATCAGCTCAATTATGCCCATATCCGATATAGCCAACCTGGCTTCTTTCCTAGACTGGTTCTGTTCCCTTCCTCCGTCATTCTCTCTTCTCCCCTTTTCTTCTTTTGAGAAAATTTATATAGCCCAAGATGGCCTCAAACTAGCTATGTAGTCAAAGATACTTTTGAATTTCTGAGCCTTTTTGTCCTTACCTCTAAAATACTAAAAACCAAGCGGTCGGCCCTAAAAAGACATACATATAGGTCAACATTATATGGACTGAGCAGGTTGTATTATTTATTTAGGAATACATACATTACAATTAAAGAAAAAGAGGATATAAACTTGAAAGAGAGCAAGGGGAGAGATCATGGGAGGGCTTGAAGGGAGGAAGTAGAAGAGGGAAATGGTGTAATTATAATCTCCAAAAAGATTAGAAGTGTTCATCTTAACCTTGTTCTGAGATGACAAAGACAGTTGTTGTTTCTACAAAGGAAAATGGAAACTAAAGGCACAAGGGTAGAAAAGTGATACATTAAATCACTTTGTTCTTTATTACTGTAGATGATGAATGAAGTAAGTTATCTCACATCTATATGCTAATCAAGATATTTGAAGGACTCGTAAATAATATTTACAGCCAGTTAGCAGAATTGACTCTTTATAGCAAAAGATTATATTTTGTTACTATGCATGAAAACAATCTAGCATAACTATTTTTCTAATCATAACTTTCTACATATTGGGCTTCCCCCCCTTGTTTTATATTGTGTTTTGGACAGGGTCCCACTATGTAGACCATGCTGGCCTAGAACTCACAGAGATCTGCCTAGCTCAGCCTTCGGAGTGCTGAGATTAAAGGTGTGTACCACTCCAATCAATTTCATTTCGGTTCTTCTTAAAAAAATGGTCAAGAACCTTATATTCCAGTTTCTCACTAACCAGCAAATCTGCACAAAAAAGCTATTATTTTCAGTCTAAGTGCATTGAATAGCTGTGCTTCAGTTACTTGTGATCTCTAAACAAAGCCAAGCATAGCCTACCACCATGCATATTTCACTTTGGAATCAGCGAGGTTCAAGACAGACAGATACCCTGTAAAAGTAAAAAAAGTTTCTTTTGAAACTTTCAAAAGAAAATGTTATTTATCATTTTTTACAATTACTAAGTCCTATGTTACTGATCATAAATTTTAAAAATGTACATCTCTACTGTAGTACTATCTCATCTTTAGCATAAACGTCTGTCATCTGTTAACATGTTTGTTTATTTCTCAGGTTTGACTTCGGTCCCAAGCAACATACCATTTGACACGCGGATGGTTGATCTTCAAAATAACAAAATTAAGGAAATTAAAGAAAATGATTTTAGAGGACTCACTTCACTTTATGTAAGATTATATACTCTTATTTTTAAATACTTAGTGAAAATTCTTATCACTGTTAGAATGATTACTTATATTGCATCAATAAAGAAATCTTATTTTCCTATGAATGACCCACTGCAAAGTTCTTGTATTCAGTCAAGTAAACACTATAGCTTAATTCAATTAATGCCTACAGAATAATAGCCAGGTAAAAGGCTACTATCTAGTCAGATGACAAGGCTCACTATGCACTGGAGTAAGGAAAGAATTATTCCCAGGGCTTGGCAGTTGAGAGGCAGCGGTAGGTGGATCTCAGGCCAACCAGAGCTTCATAATGTGACCCTGTTTCAAAACAAAAATATTTATCTACACCAATAATCAATATAGTATTAAGAAATGTTCGCCCAAAGCCACTGACTTAAGATCTCATAGTTCTCTAACAACAGCACATAGGCTATATTTATTTAGGTGGCTAATATATGTATGCATGCCATCTTTTCCTTGATCTTTGTAAAAGAAAATGAATTTTCTCCTCATATATTAATAAATACAATTAATATTTTAATATTCTAACATTGCCTAGGATTTTGAAGCTTACAGGACTACTGGCTTTCTGACTTAATCTAAAATTAAGTTTGGATAAAGAGTCTGATTTTGCACTGACACAGCTGTGAAGGTGTCACCTGCTTTTGTCAGCCTGGCCCTTGTCTTGCTGAGCTGAGGATAGGCATGCTAGATGAACAGCTCCAGCTTGATACTGTCTGGTATGGTGGGCCATGGGGCTAGGACTACTTTTTTTTTTTTTTCTTCCGAGACAGGGTTTCCCTGTGTAACAGTCCTAGCGGTCCTGGAGCTAGCTCATGAGGCTGACCTCCAACTTACAGGGATTCACCTGCCTCTGCCTCCTGAGTGCTGGGATTAAAGTAATGCACCACCACTGCCTGGCCTAGGACTACTTCTTCCAGGCCATTTAGCTATACTCCCAGGCTGTGCTAAAGAAAATAAACATATAGCCTGTCATCTTTAGGGAAGGTAAAATACTAAGAAAAGAATTCATAATCATACTAGGCCTTGCATATAGGCCTATCTGTATATAACGGTAGTCAAGTATAGATTCTATATCTGGGAGATGTGACGTCACTTTGCCTCTCTGTCATCTCAGGTCAAATACATACATACTCATCACGTTAGAGGCACACAAATGGATAACGAGCAAGGTGTTGCACCCAGAGCCTAGAGATTAGATTAACCCTCCCCAAAAGTTCACATTTAAGTGGTGTACTGCTTGGTAGCTGGACTCTGACTGCTCTTTTTTGCCTTTAAGAAAAAAAGTTCTTCATAAAATTTTAATTAATAAAATACAGTTTCCATACTAGGACTTACTCAAATATTAAGAAAGTCAGCAATAACACAATGGATTCTACCAAATATCCACCTTGCCTATCCCACTAACTTGATATTATAGAAACTTGGAGAAAGGAGAGGTCATTATTTTATTATCAGAGATGGGAAAAGATAGGCATATATACATGTGATTTAAAAAGAATGTGGAAATATATATGACCTGTGAATGCTTCTACTACCTTTGAGACTATATTCAAATAACCACAGAACAACCAACTTTACATTTGATATCAAAGTCATAAAAGTTCCAATTCAATTAACATAATTTTATTGTATTTTAGGAGTATTCTATGAACTCAGTCCACATGAACTTTCATTTTTCATTGGGAAATGATGCATTAAAAGATGTTGGAAAATTTTTAGTCCTCTAATATTTTTAAAGTCAATTTGTATATTGTACTGTGTTAAGGATGAATGTTCTGGTGTTGGGTGAACCTGGACACAGCTCTTGGCTCTATCAGCTAAATAACAGAGAAAGTAGTCTTACCTTCCTCAGCAGTAAGAAGGGCATAATAATGGCATGGATTTTGTAGAATGGCTTATAAAATTAAATAAGAAAATACATGTAAGTTGTTACTCCAAGATAGGAATTTCCTCAGCTGTGCCCAGTATCACTGTCAGGCTAGTATGAGTAGACTGGCCAAAGACGCCGATAGAAACCACTTTCATGTGTCCATGGCCATCCTGGAACTCACTCTGTAGATCAGACTGGCCTTGAACTCAGAGAGATCTGCCTGCCTTTGTCTCCCAAGTGCTGGAATTAAAAAGTGTGTTACCACTGCCCAGCTTATTTTAAGTTTTTATAGGATATGTTTGCTGCCCAGGTTGGCCTCAAACTCCCAGGCTTAAGTGCTTCTTTTTACTTGCTTTCCCAAGTAGGAGCAACAAGAAGTACTTGTCATTGCTACAGATGAAAGCACTTTCACAAGCAGTTGTTTTATAATTGAAGTAGTGGTATGCTGCATAATTATAAAAGTCTAATTATAATATCTAATAAATTTCCTGTCTTAAAAGAGAAATCAAAATGTTTTAGACATCCTAGGAATCTATTCTATTTCAAACTGCCTGTTTGGTGCTAGGACTCTCATAGAAAAGATACCACACAGAATGATGGAACACTCCCACTCACTCCTCTCTGCTGTTCCAGTGACTGCACACTACATTTCCTTCTACACTGTTTGTTGGTGATGTATCTGGGCTGCAGGACAGCTAGTTCCCTGTGGAGAAGCCAACACTGAGTACAGCTGACCTCAGGTTATTCTGCCAGCCCATCATGCCAGACATTATGTCATTCAGCATTTGACAGAGCTGAACAAAAGTTGAAGAAAAGCTTTTACCCTAGTTTTATTACTCATCATTCCTTTTATGTAATTTCAACAATCCAAAATTATGTATCTTAACCAGAAAACAAATGGATAAATGACAAAAGACATAAGTCCTGAACACCATGGCAAGATATTATTGAAGTATATATTCATTGCCAAATCATTTTTCTTCATTGTGTCCTGTACTGTACTATTCAAAGGAAAAATAGATTTAACCTCCTAGGGTCAAGGAAAAGTCATAAGCCACCTTTGTGATCCACTACGTTGTTAAAGTCAACTCTTAACTCATTTTCCTGCTAACTAAGGGGAAATACATCCGTAGCTGTTACCATATATTCAGAAAGGAACCTATTTTTGCTGGATGGCAACGAGAAACAGTCTCCCCTCTTCTCCTAGAATTAATCTTTCTCAGACGAAACCTTTAACAACATAGTTTGTCAGGAAAGAGGGTGATTAAAGAGAGACAACGGCCAAAGAGTAAAACGAGTGAACACACCCTTGAAGGAGTTTGCTGTGCAGCCAGAGTGTGTGTGCTAAGGAGAAACGCTTTGGGCAATTCCAGTAGGACATACGTACTCTGTCTAGAAATAAAAGGAAGAACAGAGTAAGGACAAAGTTTATAAAAGAAATAAATCTCAAGATGCTACTTGATAGAACCAGATTATTAGAGAATCAAAAAAAAATCCTAAAGATGCTAAGAAACCTGCCACCACTGCTGGTAAACATAAAAAATTATTCAATATAGCAGAGGGAAAAAATAGAAGTATATTATCTTCTTTATTATTATATTGCCATGTGAATGGTTACTATGACTGTATTAACAACTAATTCAAAGTTTTAAAAAAATGAGATTATACCTAACTAGCACCAGACATTAAAACACTGTACTGTTCTAACTTAACATTTTTAAGGCTGAAAGTATAATACAAATCTTTAGTTAATATATAAATGGTAGAAATTATAGATTTTCATGATTAACTACTGTAGAATATAAGGAAATCAAACCATTCCCTCAAAACAGTGGTTTTCAATCTTCCTAATGCTGTGACCCTTTAATACAGTTTCTCATGTTGTAGTAACTCCTACTCATAAAATCATTTTCATTGCTATTCTATAACTGTAATTTTGCTGCTGTTAAGAATCATAATGAAAATATTTGTGTTTTCCAATGGTCTTAGGCAACCTCTGTGAAAAGGTCATTCCATGCCCCTAAAGGAGTCACAACCCACAGGTTGAGAATAAACTGCCTCAAACCGTCTTTCTTTCTCTGCTTTATCTAGGCTCTGATTCTGAACAACAACAAGCTAACAAAGATTCACCCAAAAACCTTTCTAACCACAAAGAAGTTGAGAAGGTTGTATTTATCCCATAATCAACTAAGTGAAATTCCACTTAACCTTCCCAAATCATTAGCAGAACTCAGAATTCATGATAATAAAGTTAAGAAAATACAAAAAGACACGTTCAAAGGAATGAATGCTTTACATGTTTTGGGTAAGTTTTCCCAATGAATGGGACATCTTGAAATTGTAATTAACAGCCAAATTTAAATTATTAATTTTCAAAGTAATTTCATAAATTAATCTTTTAATCTATTAGGCTACTCATAAACTAAAGTGTGAAAAATTACAGGACACGAAGGAAAGCTTTGTGATGCCGTCTCTCTTTTTCAAGAACTTTGTGACACACTTTGTTCTGCTTTTGGGACCTGAAATAAAACCTATTAAATTTAAAGATAGTATTTTAATATAGTGTATAAATTACTCAGATATGTACAAAATTAATTCTTTTATTGTTTGGAACACAAATCTAATTTTGGTTACATTTTAACACTATTAATATTTTATTATATTTTTAAGTCTCACTATTTTATTTGTATTGTTCTTCATACAACTATGCCATCTGCCTGCAACAGTCATTCAAACACCTGGACAAGGTTCATGCTCAAATGTTCTCTTAATCAAAACCTAGTACTTATGAAACATCCTCTTACATTTCTTCTAAGTTAAATTTCTATTTATAATTTTTATATGATATTTTAAAAATTAAGAGGCAGAGCTAGGAGATGGTTCAGGAAGTAAAGTGCTGCACATATCTGAGAACCTGAGTTTGATCCCCAGAATCCACATTAAAAAGTTGGGCATGGTAGTGCATACTTGTAATCCCAGAGTTGAACAAGCAGAGATGTGCAGATACCTATGGCTCATGGCCAGCTAGCCTAGCCTACCTGGCAGGAAAAAAAAAATTCTCAACAAACAAATCTAAGGTGGTTATGTGCAAGTAATTTATGCCAATTTAAAACACCATTAAGAATGTGGACAGCATCTAAGGAATGACTTCCAAGATGAAGCTCTGGCCTCCATGAGCATGTGCATACAGCACAAAATTTAGGAGATCACAAAATGGAAAATACAAATACCTTGAATTATTTAGAGAGTGCTTTTTTTCCCTGCTGCAATATTATCATAAATTGACTAAATCTTCATGCTCATGGCATACTGGAAAGTAATGCTACTTAGTAGTTCAAAACAAATAAAAACAAAAAAGAATTTATTGTATATACCAGTTTACAAAATTCAAAACAGTGTAGTAAGTTCAAGTAGAAGAGTAAACAGAATCTACATGGGAAGTAGAAAGTAGAAAAAGACAAGATCTCCTGAGTAAATTGGGAGCATAAGGACCTTGGGGGAGGTTTGGAGCAGAGGGAAGGGCGAGGCAGGGAGGGGAGCAGGGAAAAATGTAGAGCTCAATAAATATCAATAAAAATGTATAAAATAATGATCATCATCATCATAATAATAAAAAAAGTAAACAGAAGTAGGTATAATGAGTGGAAAGGAGTATATATGACCAAGACACATTTTCCCAATATTCTTCAGATGTCTTGTCTGCATTATGAGTTTTCATGATTTTAACAGATGTGTGCTGAGTTATGCCATTTATTTCACAGAAATGAGTGCAAACCCTCTTGATAACAATGGAATAGAACCAGGAGCATTTGAAGGGGTGACAGTATTCCATATCAGGATTGCTGAGGCAAAACTAACCTCAATCCCAAAAGGTTTGTATTTGAAGGTACCATCTTTCAATGAGCATACATCGTTATTTGGTATTATCACACTTAACCTGTAATACTTCAAACTTTCTAATATTTACTGTCAGACTACACTATAATCAGAAACCCCAGTGCCAGTATATCTGATCAGAGGATGAAATTTAGTACTTTTTCACATACAAACATATGTAGTGATCTTTTTGACAACATTACATCATAATCTTTTTCCCAGTAGGAATAGACATTGAAAAGCAATGAGCTTTTTTTTCCTTCTCTTTTCTGACATTTACTCTTTAAAACCTGTCAATCCATGAAGTTCTGTAGAGATGGAGAATTCTGTAGAGTAAAAAGCAGAGAAAGTAGGAGGGGTGAGACCTTGGCACTGCTGCTGCAGCTGAGGTGAACAGACTCTGGAAGGCCAGATGGGGGCAGCACTGGCTTTGGCAAGAAGACTATGTCATAAAGGGCTCTGTGACATCTTCCCAGGGATATGGTGAAGATTAATGTGCTAATACACAGAAAGGCTTGAAGACAGTATCTGAGACATAGTTTATTACAACAGTCTCACTAGAAGGAGCCTTGCATCAGTACAGATTAATGGGACCTGAAGCAGCACTCCAAGGAGAACTGTTCCTTCACTGTCCTAGAGAACCCAGTCACTAGCTGGGTAGGACTGACTGCCTTTATTGGAACTCAGGCTCACAATCTTGTTTTCCTCATCTCCAACAAAGGCTTCTTTTCTGTGTTGATTATTAACTGGATCAAAAATATACCATATTAATAACATTTTCCAATTTCGAACAGTAGTAATTCACTATCTACCAGTAAAAATAGCAACTTAGCCTGTTAGATTACTCTGATCCAAAGTGAACAAACATAAATAAGAGTATAAGATACAGTGAAATTATTATTTTAATACAAATCAACTTATATGGGGCTGGAGAGATGGCTCAGTAGGGTTTACAGCACTGGCTGCTCTTCCAAATGACCCAGGTTCAATTCCTAGTGCTCAAATGGCCATTTACGACCAACCCTATTCTGGTTTCCTCAGGTACCAGGCTTGCATGTGGCGCATAGACATACATAGGGGCAAAACCCATATAAATTAAATTTTAAAAAAAATCAATTATCTTTCACATATTTGAAAAATATATAAAGTAAAAGTCAGAAAATAATTTTTCCTCCACAAGGAAGAACCAGTTTAATCCACACCTATAGACATAAATTACCTTTATTTAGAGTTAAATAAAGTGGGTGTTCACTAAAAACCTAAAATCTTGTAATTTTTGGAGCAGTGACATAAATAAATAAATAAACAAGCAACTGTCAATGATGGAGTCAGAGGAATTTGTAGGAAGAAAGAAAATGTAGAAGGAAGAAATGGAGGAATGAACCTAGAAGGACCAGTGAGGAAGGGCAGAGGAAGGAGAACCAGACAGTAAGTGGAGGGAAAAGCAGTAGTCTAAAATGAACAATGTTTTAGGGATGAAATCAATCAAATCTTGAAGACATTTCAAACAGAAAATGGTTACGCCAACTGTTAGAGGAAAAGGCAGATACTGGGAGGAAGACATGTTTGCTGTCATCCTCTAAGGCAAGAAGTCAGCACTCAAGATTTAAAACAAGCTATTAGCAACATGAATGTAGGGAATAAAAAGTGTGAAACAAAGACCCCCCTCCCTCCCGGTTTCTCTGTTTCTGTTTGTCTGTTTCTATCCCCTACTTCTGTCTCTCCCTCCCCCTTTTCTCCCTTCCACTGTCTCTCCTCTCCCCTGTCTCTCCTCTCCCCACGTCTGTCTCTTTCTCCTTCCCTCCCTCC